TAAGCTACCTATCATCTCAGTGTCTGGAACACATTCTCCTTCTATCTTAAATCCTGTGTACCATTCAGACACGCACAACTAGCATGATTCCTACTTTGTTTATTCCCCATGTCTAGAATCTCCTATTTTGTATATGTTGTGTCCTGTGACATGTTGGCCTAGCCTGATTTTTTTCTTTTATATTATAAAAATATACAGTACCATCATAATGCCACGCAACACAACGTTCTTGAATGTATTTGACATCACGCAAAGTGTTTTCTTCTGTTGTTTGATGCTATTGTGGCATTACTAGATTCTCTGTTCTCTTGTGAACAACAAAAATAAAGAATATAAATTTTTTTTAAAAAGTCTTCAAATATTATATTTTAATAATTTGTGCTGAAACCCTGTTTTCTACTAGAGATGTCTCCTCTTTAACATTTGTTAACAAGTAGGGGATAGATACGAGTCCCAATATCCAGGTGGTCACACACACCTAACATTTTATTCCTAACTCTTACGTCTCTGGTTTTATGCCTTGCTGGTACTTTAAATTCCTCATCTGACTCCTAAACCCAGATTTAAATGTTCCAAAATCTTGAGTTTGTGAAAAAGGTTAAATAAAAAGTATCACCGTGCACTATAAGATTTATTTATTTATTTGTTGTAAGCGACATTGACATGTTTTTCAGACATTTTCTTTGTTGTGCTTAAGGGCATTCAATAACCTGTTAGAAAATATTGGTGCACAAAGGAAATCAGTTCCCTGCTGTGATGTTCATTAAATTCGCAGTGTGCATCTCTTTTGTGTCTTGCAAGGCGAACCATAATTTCTAGATCAAGCAAAAGGAAAAGGCTTATGTTGTGCCTTTCCAGATCTCTGTCGGATATAATGGATCTCATGGATAATGTGAGCATAAAGCTTTGTCTCTAATTATCTCTAAAATATAGGACATTTAAATCTTAATCGCCGACTGTTGTAATCATTTTCTGAATTTCCTGTGTCACAGCATTGTGAAACGCTACAGTGTTTTTCTGGTATAGTGTTCTTTCCTTTAGCGAATTGTCCTACTCTGTTTACTAGATATGGAAAACATAGAGTTTTTTTTTTGAGTAGGATGTGGTTTATCTGAATCAAGATTTTTTTTTTTCTTTCTGCTCATAGTAAGAAAACTAATTTTCCCCATTTCAGTTTTTTTTTTTTTTCTTTCTGATTTTGATTAATTTTATTTTCCTGGCATCCCATCTATTTTAATTTTGTATAATTTTTTTTTTTTTTATCAGAAATTATTGGAACAATAAATGTTGACCTGCATTAAAGTTCTGTCCCCCAATAGGCACTGGATATATGATTTATGACATACATATAGACGAGACTACTTCCATTTCACGTTTTTCTACTGTTGAAGATGCACGTGTATCTGCACCGAAACGCGCGTCAAGTTGTTTTTGCTATACGGTGGTTATTGTTATTTATTTTGGGCTCGTCACCTCGTTATGTTGTTACACTTTGGTAATTTAAGGAGTTTAATGATTTACTCCACTGGAATTATGATTTTATAGACTTAGATTTTTCTTTTTCTTTATCCTCCTACGCCTGTCTAGTTGGATTTCAAGGGAGAGAGGCTTTGTCTACATACTCTATTTTTCCTGTATATACTACTCTATGTTCTGTAGGAATTAATGCTGGTATTTTTCTATTCTCTCTCCCATTTTATAACTGTATTTTCAAGGGCGAGATTTAAGTTTTATAGTGTGGTAACTGGTCTTTTAAATTTATTTTATTTAATAAAGCCTATAGATACACACCCTTAAACTATTTTATGGTATGCCAATTCTAATGTCTACCACTTTATTTCTGCCCTCCTCTAATTTATCATTTAGATCCAGACATAGGAGAAGCCTTATAAGGCTTGAAGTTATGTCCCAATGTGTGTATAACTTTAAAGACTGATATGTTATTCATAATAAGATACTGTTTCTACTTTCCAGGCAGCACCCCTCACAGTGTGTGAGAGGTTTGCATTTTTCTCTGTTTTGATTTATAGTGACATTAAATGTAAAATTTAGACAAAGTACTTAATGTCAGTTCAGCATCACCACTTATGAGTATGTTATGCTATTGTAACACCCATACCTGGTCATTGCTTTGTCCCACTCGCACAGTGAAAAGATTGTCCCTTTTTGGGGACACTTTATTGGCAGAGGGTTATGGGATGAGATCAATCCCATAAATGGCATCCAGACTCCACACCAGGATGAAATTCTCTTGACTAGAGCATTTCATCCTGGTGTGTGAAGGGTCTGCCTGCAGACCCACCAACCAGTGTCCCAAGCGACACATTAAAAAGCAAGTATTATTTGCAAAAATACAATAAAAGACAAAAAAAAAATTACTCTCACACCTCTAGTGGTGGTGGTGGTATTTTCGTGTATTTCTCATTCTTGGGTCAGAGGCCTGGAAGTCTGAGGGTTCCGTGCAGTATCTTAGCTGTTCCTACAACTACACTTTTCTAGAAAGTGATCTCAAATGTCCCACCTGTAAACTTCTGAAGCCACTCCCCAAATATTGGGGTCACAGCCCCGAGTGCTACTGTCACACCAAGGATTAATATTGCCTTCAATTCGCATCAATTCTTGATGTTTGTCTATTTTCTCATGTTCCTTCTTCCTCGTGCTATTTTGGGTATTGCCACATCCATCTACGCAGTCTTCCACCACAATGTCATGTTGGTTGGCCAGTCACTACTTGCTTGTCTCTCTGGATCTGAAATTCTGAACTTTATCTTGTCTTGTGGTAAAACTTGTAGCTTTTCTATGATCATCTTTATTTTATCTGCTGTTAAGCCATCTTGGTTCAGAGATTCAGGTTGGCAACCCTTTATAAGTTTAGGTGTGGATATGGAACTTGTATGATGTTTTGTGTAGTCCATCTAATTCTAGTTGTGGCACTAGCTTCCTCTTGCCAATGTTGAAACATTGGGTAAGTAACTGTTTTAGTGTTATAGTAGATGAAGTCTCTTTCATTCATCCATAGTTCCCATATATATGTTTCATGTAGCCCCTCTCGCTGGGTCTGCGGTTGTAGTAGCAGTCAAGCAGGTCTAGGTTCTCATTTTGTGTCCAGGAATAGTTTGTTCCAGTAGCCCACTTGTCATCAGGTTGCCCTGGTTCCCTAGTATCTGGTGTGGCGCTTGTTAATCTGGTTGATGTCCGAGCCGCTATGACTCTCTTGGCTTGTGTTACTCTCAAATTATTGAGGTGGTGTGTCCTGCGTAAGGACACTTACTGGCGAGATGGTCTGACCAGGATTAAAGCAGAAGTTGTATATAAGTTGTAAATTTTTCCAATATTTTTAATGCATTATCTGCTTACAAGTTTTGTCTTTTATTAATTAGAAATGTCAGGCATTTTTCATAGATCTTGTTTCAGAAAGGTAAGCATTAAGTTGTTCAGCTCTTCTTCCTCTTCTTTAAAAATTGACACTGAATTGCTGTCTGATGTTTTAAATATCTAACAGCCAGAAATGGAGCAGCTTACTTTTTTCTAAACTCTTGCCAGACAGCATTAAAAACATGCACTCATTGGAACTAAAGATTGAACATCCACATTACTTGCAAACTACTTATTTAGAAATACAAGCTCAACATGAAAATTACCACATGCCACAGATATGGTGCCAGTTGGCATGTTTTCAGTTTGAAAAGAATATTTCTTTGTTTTTTTCCCCCCCCTGTACATTCTAGCCTAGTTAGATGTGATCTATTCAAAACACATTTCGTCTCATCAAACACAGAAAAAGACTTGCTGTTTCTTGTTGTAAAAGTTAAATGACAAAATAGCTCTGAATTATTACTGCTTCTTGTGAATCATTCCACTGATGCTTTCAGTTTGTTTAAGTTTTAAAGCTCAAAGATGTATACTAGCACGCCCGAGGTCATATCATTGGATTGAGGACATTATTACCTCTGTATTGTCATTGTCTTTTCCTGCTCAGTATGATTTATTGCAGCAGTGTTCGACCGAACATAAAAACATACAGATTTGACATTACTGGACACTTTTCTGCCTGGACCATGACAAATGCTGATTACAAAGCTAAGATTTCTTCGCTTGTTTGTAATCCGCTGATATTCTGATTTGTAAAACGCGTGGGGAGGGGGGTTGTGGCTTCTAGACAGCCACTAGAGTCACTTACTGCAGTTTCATGAAGTTTGACTCTGTAAAACGACACTGGACATCCACATGCTTTGGCTGAGGATGTCCAGTGCATTGCAAATCCTGTAGGAAACCGTAATTCAGTGATGGAAACTGGTGTTTTAATGGGGGGAGGGACACTGTAGTGTTAAAGAGTTCTTTAACTTGAGGTCGAATGACTGCCATTAGAAAAGCTTTGATTTAGTCCACTTTGAGATTTATTTTTTTCCGTTTGTTTTATGGCAATATAGTTTAAGTATTTTGATCTTTGAATAGTGAAGTGTTTGTTGTTTTGTTTTTATTTTTTTTTAAATTAGGCCTGTATCTATTCATCTGTATTGATTGTGTTTCATGACTCAGAATGGGTTGATTTTGTGTACCAGCGAAAAACCTAGTTTGTCTAGCATTTGGTAGGCAAATGATTTGGGAAAAATCAGAGGTAATGCGGCCATAACTACCTAGCACTGTACAGTTAAGATGTTTTAAGTGCTGTTAGTGTTGTTATGACTACATAGACAATCAATAATACATAACACTAATATGTTTTTCTTGATTCCATGATAAGATTTCCTCAACATGTTTCCCGTAGCTAAAACTTATTTGATAGGAATCTGATGGCTATTCAGTGTTTGACTTAACTTTATCTAAGGCAATTCGGTATCTTTCCGTGTTTTTGATCTTGAGTAAATTTTAAATATGGCACCTTTTGATACATACACACACCAAAAAAACAATGTATGGGTTTGCTATGTTAAGGGGTTCAAATATCCTAATTTTCTGTTTCAGTTTTTTTATTTTTATACATATGTCTTTTTGTGTGCAGAGATTCGGGCTCAGCTAGTCGAGCAACAGAAATGTTTGGAACAACAGACAGAAATGAGAGTTCAACTGCTTAATGACCTGCAGGACTTCTTCCGCAAAAAAGCAGAGATTGAGACAGAGTATTCCCGAAATCTTGAGAAACTCGCAGAGAGGTTCATGGCCAAAACAAGGAGCACAAAAGATCATCAACAATACAAGTGAGAATTATTTTCTTTTTGCGTCCTCCAAATAATCATTCCATCTCATGACTGTAAGCTCATTTGAGCGGGGTCCTCACCAACCTATTGTTCCTGTAACATTTTGTAATTCTCATTTATTGTTAAATTACTATCTTTTATAATATCGTATAGCGCTGTGGAAAAAGTTGGTGCTAGATAAATGCCCATAATAATAATTGCAATCATATTTCATATAGTGACTTGTACAACAACTAGTTTCGACCAGAATTTTTGGCAGTGAAAGGGTAATATGTATGTTGTCAATATGTGCTTGCGTATAGACCCATTCTTGGTGCGTTTGCATGTGTATGCATCAGAAGCATCAAAATGTTGGACTATCCAAGCACCTTTGCATGGCTTATAGTGCAAAAAGGTCTATTCTCCCAGTATACTTGCTAGTTGTTGACTATAACAGCAGTGCTTGCAAATCACATCAGGCTTTAAAGGAACACTATAGGGTCAGGAACACAAACATTGTATTACTGACCCTATAGTGTTAAAACCACCATTTAGGTGGTTTGACCCCCCCCCCCTTAACCCCTTTAAAAGGTAATAAAGATTGCCTAATTTACCCTGCCCCCAATCAGCCTCCTTGCTGACATAATCACAATTTATGATTCTCTGAAAAGGCAGTGTATACATGAAAATGACTACAGTGAATGATTATACTCACCAGAACAACTACATTAAGCTATAGTTGAACTGGTGGCTATCGTGTCCCTTTAACTTTAACATGTCACTCAGGCATCAAAGGAGTGATATATACCACCTCCCTTGATCATACAAATATTTCTGGAAAACCTTACTCCCTATCTGACTCTCAGAGACTCCCGGTTGCTCTGTGGCACATTGAAATTGTGCTTAGCCAGTCATAAAATGACTTATTCAGCAATTGAGAGCTGTTGCTGGGAGCTTAGCTAGATATGCCATTATTTATGGCATTTAAGATGAGATCCTGTTGACCAGAGTAAAAGTCTACTAATATCATAATTTGATGGTCTTCACATTCCTGTTATCGGGTTCAAAGGATCACATTTATACTATTTCATAAACTGCTTACATGACAAAACATTACTTTGGTAAACAGGGATGTTTGAAAATGAAATGTGTCAGAGTTTATTAGGTAACTGTAGCAGAGCAACAGGCCACACTTAGCATTCCTATTATCATCTCCCATGCTTTGCATGATGCATCAGAGATTGGCTGACAGTAGTGGCAAGAGTATTCATCAGTCCTTAAAGGGATACTATAGTGCCAGGCAGGGGCGGACTGACCGGTCGGGCACTTCGGACACGGTCCGAGGGCCCGGCCGGGAGGGGGGCCCGCCGCCAGGGCCGCCTTCAGGGGGCCCGGCGGCAGGGCTGGATTGGGGGGGGGGGACTGCAGGTGCCACCGGGTGGCCAGTCCGGTGGCACACTGTGAGGGGGGGCCGGCCGTTTCATTTTAGAGCCGCCGGACCGGGTGGCAGCCTCGCCGGTCCGGCGGCATTCCTCTCAATAACACTGAAGAGGAAGGAGGAGGAGGAGCATGTGTCTGTCATGCTCCTTTGCGGTTCCCACATCCTGTGCTGGGAATTGTGGGAACCGCAGGGAGCATGACAGACACATGCTCCTCCTCCTCCTTCCTCCTTCAGTGTTAGTGAGCGGAATGCCGCCGGACCGGCGAGGCTGCCACCCGGTCCGGCGGCTCTAACATGAAACGGCCGGCCCCCTCACAGTGTGCCACCCGGTGGCACCCTGCTGAAGTCCCCAATCCAGCCCTGCCGCCGGGCCCCCTGAAGGCGGCCCTGGCGGCGGGCCCCCCTCCCGGCCGGGCCCTCGGACCGTGTCCGAAGTGCCCGACCGGTCAGTCCGCCCCTGGTCCCATCACTATATCTCTGCTACGGCTCATACAAAGCAGACGTTTCACATTATTCTCCCATATCCATGTGACAGATTGGCAATAATAGCCTGAGAACGCTAGATATGAGCTAAAGAGCAGGATTTTCCAATGCTATTTTAATTCACTTATTTTTTTAAACTAGACATTTATTTATTGCCTTTTTGAATTTTTACACTAAACCTAAATAAACAACTAATTAAACCCTTTTTATAACCAATTTGCAGTGGTATTGCATTTTTTGCTGTATGCAGGACTAATCTTTGCATACAAATTCATAAGATGTAAATAACAGGACTGAATTTTAGATCTCAAGTACCTGAAGGTGCAAAATTATCAGGTTTCCCTTCCAGTCTCCAATACATCAGTAGTCTGTTGCTTGCCATATGATCTGAAGGATACTGGCCCATCTAGTCTGCCCAATTTTCTAAATACTTTCATTAATCCTTGGCCTCATCTTAAAGGACCACTATAGTGCCAGGAAAACATACTCTTTTTCCTGGCACTATAGTGCCCTGAGGGTTCCCCCACCCTGAGGGCCCCCCTCCTGCCGGGCTCTAGGGGGAGGAAGGGGTTAAACTTACCTCTTTCTCCAGCGCCGGTCGGGGGACTCTCCTCCTCCTCTTCGGCTGAATGCGCATGCGCGGCAAGAGCCGCGCACGCATTCAGCCAATCCATACGAAAGCATTCTCAATGCTTTCCTATGGATGCTGGCGTCTTCTCACTGTGAAAATCACAGTGAGAAGCGCGGAAGCACCTCTAGCGGCTATCAATGAGACAGCCACTAGAGGCTGGATTAACCCTATTATAAACATAGCAGTTTCTCTGAAACTACTATGTTTATAGAAAAAAGGGTTAACCCTAGATGGACCTGGCACCCAAACCATTTCATTAAGCTGAAGTGGTCTCGGTGCCTATAGTGGTCCTTTAAGTCTAGGATGGCCTTATGCATATCCCACACATGCTTAAATTCCCTCACTGTGTTAACCTCTACCACTTCAGCTGGAAGGCTATTCCATGCATCCACTACCCTCTCAGTAAAGTAATACTTCCTGATATTATTTTTAAACCTTTGTCCCTCTAATTTAAGACTATGTCCTCTTGTTGTGGTAGTTTTTCTTCTTTTAAATATAGTCTCCTCTTTTACTGTGTTGAATCCTTTTATGTGTTTAAATGTTTCTATCATATCCCCCCCTGTCTCATCTTTCCTACAAACTGTACATGTTAAGATCCTTTAACATTTCCTGGTAAATTTATAAAAGAGAAGTATGAATGCAATCAATCACTAAAAAAAAAATAAAAAAAAAAATGCAATTTCCATGTAGCATAATGAATATAAAAATAATATCCGAAAATGACAATTTCAAGGTATTGCCCCTTGTCTAATGGTAAATCCATCACTGATAATTGAATTATAAAATCCAGGGTATAGATAGAATGACCTTGGAATCCTATATTCTGGCACGATAAACCTGGCAAAGGATGGACAAGTATTATTAGGACCTGCAAAAACAGTTTTATTTTAATTTTATGTTTTGTGACATTGATGTGCTATTTGTTTAGTATTTAAGTGACAGTCACCTTTGCATAGAGAATTAAAAATAACCAGAAATCATGGACTTCTTCAGTTTGGCTAGCTAAACCTAAAATATGCAATCCTCTTGCCAACTTTCCACAACTCAAAATTAAAGAGAAAAAACTAATTTGTGCATTTTGTATTTTTAATAGATTAAAAAATATATATATAATTTATGCAGACAAATGCCATATACATTTTACAGATCAAAATACGCGAAGAATCAATGCTGCTACTGCAGTAAATATTTTTTGGTCTGTGGGGTCCAGTTCTATCTCCTAAACCCCTGTTCAGCATGTGCGTGGCTTACAGATATATTTCTATAGCTTCCTCCTCTAGCAACCAATGGATACTAAAACAGGGGACCTCCTGTCCTTGTATCTTACAACTGACTTTCCTTGTATCTAACAACTAGCTTTCCCTTCAGAGACAACATATGCCGTAGTTTTCATGAATTTATGCTGGAGATCACATTCCACTCCAACCTCCTCTTCTTCCCTTAAAAAAAATAAAAATTACCCATATGGTGTGGCAGTGTAAAAATATTCCAAAAATGTGAGACACAATGAGATTTGCATCTATCTCAAATCACCTATTAACTACATCTCTGTCTGGAGAGAATCACTGATCCTATTGATTAGGAGAGGTACTTTGGCCTCTCATCCCTTCTCAGACCTAATTATATAATGCCTTCCTGCTGTATATCGCACATTGAGACATGGAATGCAATTTGAGAATTTGTATTGTTGGGGATTTTGTGGCCCTATTGTAAGGAGTCATGCCATTTGACTTCTTACCTGCGGCCTACCAGACACCCCTTCCTGCCTCCACTACGGTCAACATAGAGCTCTCTGTCTTCGCTAGGGGCCAAGCTTATTGCCTGAGTGTTATTAGCTGACACTGCAGGAAAGATAACAGAATATCCTAAAAAGGAGCTACAAGCTCTCTGCCAACAGTAGTGGAGGTGGGGAATGATGTCTAAGTAAGAGGTCAAACCATTCTGGAATGTTTTTTTTTTTTTATAATCACTACAGCATAATGTACAGTGTAGTAGTTATGGTGTTTGGAGTGTTCCTTTAAGAACTTTTGATCTAATCAGCAGATACATTTCAGCACAGTCATAGGACTACTAGAGCAGACACAAACGTAATCACATAATTGATGTGTAATCACTAAATCAGAGATTTACCAACCCACACACTTTGCTCTCCTCCTCTAATATCGGACAGTGACCTTCTGCAAATTCATTATGAAATTAAACGGCTTTAGGATATTCTGAGTCAACATTGAATTAAATGGGTACTTGGCTCTTATCTTGATCTTGGAAAGTCCTCCCTGCAGTTAGGTTGGTGATGAGCTCATCCAGAAACCAATTACACAGGCTCTAGTAACTTGGGACTTCGTGTATCTTCATGTACCTTGCCAAGACTGTCTGTTTTAGTGAAAAGCTGAGATGTTAATTCTTGGTGAGTCATCCGAAAGGTACTTGTCTGCCAACATCACCATCAATGGACAGACTTCCCAGTTAGGC